GTGCCATCTTTTTACATTTGGGCTTATTTAGTGCGTCTTTTGTCATTGAATTTTGCAGATTTCCTTTTGATTTTTTACATTTGTATAATTTTCAAGAGTAATTTGAATTCTTTTCCAAATCAATAATAAAAATTTCAAATTTTTCTAAGTAGCATTAAATATCACTTGACAAAGAAATACAAAATAAGAAAACATCTAAATTGCAATAATAATATTAATGATAATATGTCTAATAAGAGACATATGAATTGAAAATCCTAATAATATCAAGTTATATGAGCATCCTCTTAATTTAGAAAAATTATATTTTCTGAATAAATATATAAATTTTTAAATATTATACAAATGGATAAATGAAGCACTATTAAGGATTGAAAAAAAAAGTGAATGTCAATAAAGTCGCTAACATATCATTTCTAAACATTAAACAGCAAACATTGAAATCATAAGTATTGGATCTCGGAGATGAATGCTGATTAACAATTTGAGTTCACGATATCAATTAGTAACACAGCTAAACAAGAAAAAATAAAACTAAAAAGGAAAATCATAACACATACTGGACACTACAACGAACATTAGACTTCTTGTAGGATCTAGGCGAACAAGACACAAGTTAAAATAATTACCAAATCCTATCCAGATGGACGGTCATTGAATCTAGGACAGAAGTATGAGGTGGGTGCTGATCGGATGCACGCACAACGAAGTTGAACGTGAGACTACTCATCAAAAACATTGTTGGAAATTATAGCATTTATCTGATACAGACATAACTACCATGTGCTGATTGTGCTGAATATCTTGCTGCTGTAAGTGAGTTTCTAAATTTGACAGCACCTTTTGATCAAAAGAGTGTCTCTAAATTTTCAAATCTTTGAACCAAATCCTGATAATTTGGTCCAGCATCATGTGAAGGTCCAGCTTTCTTCTCTTCTATTTCACTCAGAACTACATGGTTTTGGCTGGGCTCGTCCTTTTGAAGATTGCCATAAGGATGCGTTGTTGTAGTAGAGAGGTTCTTACAAAGTCTTATTCTGGATGAATTAAATCATACTTCTTTTCCAAAATATAAGCAATCAGATGTCCTATAGGCTATGTTCTTCTCTTTCTTTTATGATCACTATGAGCCAATTTCAGAGAGGACCATAAATGTAGTCTATTAGGAGTTGGGACCTCAATCTATGGGTTGTCTTGTCATAATCAATTAGGTAACAGTAGAAAGAGAGGGGTGATTTGACTTTATCAACGCTTTAGGTAATATGGAATTCTTAGTACGTGCTGGATGATACAGGCTTCAACAGATAAAGTTGATACTTTAGCAGATGATCTTAACTCTTATTCCTCTAATCACACATATAACTTGAGTCCAATTAAAGCTTTGTGGTGGTTAAGGTTATGTGATCTTAAGCCTTCAGTCCTTAATGTTAGGAAGATACTAAAGTTATCCTCGGTGATTTCAAACTTTCTTTTTTAAAACTAAAGAACTGATGATAGAATGGTCGGAGGTTGAATGAACATGTTTTTGCCAAGAAATAGTGAAAGGTTTCCTCTATTGTAGAAGTGTACTAAGTGAGGATTAAACCAAATTGGGAAGAGGCAAACAAGTGCATTACCTGAAAGTTAATTGATCTTGTACAGAGAACTTAGATGGGGTTTATTGTTTGAGAGACAACCTAGCAAAAGTTTTCTTTCATTGGCTCTAGAAAGGAAGTTTTTCAGATGTATTTCTTGAAGGACCCTTAGCCAAGGTCTTTTGGCGCTTGCTAGAAACTTGCCATTGAGATATTTGAAGAGTGGAAAGGTTGAAAGAGATGTGTTAAAGTGACTGTTCCAGTAAAAAACTGCCGTTAATTTAAAGAAGAACGACTGTTCGTACCAGACGAAATTTTCGTTCTTCCAGTAACGAATTTGATTCGTCCCGTACAAAAATATTTTCATATGGACGAACGAATGAGTTTAAAAAATGACGACTTTTCGTAAACACACAATTTTCGAAGCATCTCCTTTCGTGCAGAGCTTTTTGACCAAGACGATCGTACATACGAACACGTGTTCGTGTACGATCTCAAATAGAGAGTTTCGTCCAGGGACGAAGGTTTATTTCGTCCTGTACGATCTCAAACAGAGAGTTTTGTCCCGGTACGAACCATGCTTTTCGTCTGGATGAACAGTGCAAGGTAAGAATCCAGAGACGTTCGTCCTGGGAAGAATATAAAATTCGTCCTGGACGATTAGGACTTAGAAAAATTTTCTACCAGCCTGTTCGATCCATTGCTCTTCCTAGGGGTTAATTGACTGATCATCCCGTACGAACCAGATTTATCCCGTACAATCAGTTCACAAAAATTTTTCCCCCAAGAGTGTGTGTTGTGATTTTTCACTCAATTACAATCACTTCCTCTCATTTCAAAACTTATAATTTACAAATGTATAATTTGAAGTCTTCATTGCTTGGAGTTGATTTTCCTGAAATGTTAGTAGACACTAGAGCAAAAGAAAATCTTCCAAAAAGTATTAGGAGATATATAAAATAATAATATTTGAAATCATCAAAATAATACAACTTGCAAGAATGTAAAGCATGCAAATAGCAACTCTCTCTACCATCTCTATTTTGTTAGAACTTTAAAGAGAGTGTTGCAGAGCTGGGTCTTTGAGCACCATGGCACTGGCATCAAGTATTTTATAAATATCACCATTCAAAATGATATTTGCAAAGTCATTTGCCTCAATATAAGTAGTCGGCTGGAGAGAGAGAGAGAGAGAGAGAGAGAGAGAGAGAGAGAGAGAGAGAGAGAGAGAGAGAAAGAGGACCTCGAATTCTAGAGAGGGAAAGTTTATTTTAGGTAGCTTCGAGTCAATCTTGTTCATTAAGGCATTCAAAAAATTATCCAAGTTGAGATAGATTACATTTTATCTATCTCAGCTTTTAATAATTCAAAGTTTCTAGAATTTCATAACATTTTAAATTAAAATTTGATGCAAAATTGGGTTATTAGATCGCTGAGTAAATTTTCACTGTGTAATTTTCCATATGTCTTAGTTGATAATATTATGCACATTTTGATATTTTAATTACAAATTTTCACTAGGTGGTTTTGGAATCGTTATTTACATGATGTGGCAAAATATTTCAACACTTCTAATTAGTTCTGTAGTATAATAAAAGCTTTGAAATGCAGTTATAAATAATGTATGATAAATAGCCATATTTTTAGAAAATATTAATTTTATTTGGATTTCTACCAAATATTTTATACGTTAGATTATTAGTAGGATATTCTGTGAAATCCCATGATAATTTTGACAATATAAATTATACTTGAAAATGTATGAAAATGTATTTATATTTGTTTATATTTGTGAAATATATGAATTTGGATGAATTATGATGATTGGCACAGATCCTAATATGTCAAATGTTTTGATTTATAAGGGCATGAAATATTTAAATGTCTGGGATTTTATATGCATTAGGAGTCATAAATGGTTGTTATTTGTTACACTAGTACATATAGGGAGTCATAAGAGCTTGAATTTTAAACTCTCATATCTACTTAGAGGTATAAGGGTCTGAAAATTTTTATTTATTAAAACAAATGAAGATGGTGTGTTTAGTATTCAATTATTGTTTTATTTTGTTGTTTATAAATATTATGGAAGAAATATTATTTACTACTCTGTAGATACCTACTTATTCTAAGTAATTTGTTTGTATTTTTTGCATGAATAAGTTTACTTCGATGTTTCTACTTCATTGTCATAGAGTATTATTAAAGACTTCGGTAAGTTGAATATGGCTTTGCTGAGTTATGGTTGCTCATGCCTATATTTTATATTTGTTTCAGGTTAGGATCAAGGAAAGGAACAGGCTAAGTAGAGACAGGTTGTATGTTCTATGATTTGAGTTTGTATAGGTATGTTAGATGGATTTTGACAGTCATGATTTTTTTCATTTTGTTTTGTATTGTTGATGTCATGTACTAATTATATATAATTATTTTGATTATAAATATTTCTGAGATAAATGAAAAAGAATTTTGATGGTGAGCATTTATATGTTTTAAATCAAAATTTAAATAGCTATGTAGTCTTTAAATTATTTAATTTTTTTGTAATTCTCTCCAATTAGATCTTGGGATTTTGTGTTGCCACAATCCAATACTATTAACCTATTATGTATGGTGGTTATATCAAGTCGGATTATGACACACTATAGGACCCTTATTGGCATCAACCTTCAAGCAAATAGCTACTTACTATCGTGGAACTCATGACATGCAAGCTCATTCCATGGGGGTTAGGTTGATGAGACACTCTTTCTTGACAGGTTGGCCTAATGGACTGACCTAGATAGGTTCCACCCTAAGAGTCACTCATCCCAACTCTCCCAAAATAGCTGATCCATAATGAAGGCCATGTGCCTTCTAAAGATACCTCATATCAAGTTACATGAAGTGCAGATATATACTGCTTATGGCCAAAATTTTATTAATTGAAATGTTTCCTGGCTCACTATAACTTCTACCCTAATGGGCTCATATTTTACTCCTGAGGATTCACCATTCTTTTGTAAGGACTCACCTTTCATAGACATGTCACACAGGCCAACACTCACCCCACGCATCAAAAACTTGCCCCTAAGTACTCACCAAAAAGCTGTCATCAAAAGTAGAGAATTAACTGTTCACCATTAAGCTCAATCCAATAAACTATATTAATTTATATTTTTCATATCATGCACTCTTTCTTCATTTTTATTCTTGGAATAATTTCCATAGAGCTCTCTTAATCTTATAAATAAGAAATGAAAAGACATATTAGACTTCATGCTACTTAGATTATTCACATGTATAGAACTTGTTTACTCACCATAATCACTTATTTCCTATATTTGTTTCTCTAACTCATAAAATCCTACTTTTTGAGTTGAGTGCCATCCACGAATAAATTTGAATACAACACAATTCATAAGAATATAAATGTACAACCATGCATGAGTATCAAACTTGCATGAATCTAACAATTTCAAAAATATATATATTAAAACCCCAAATCTAATGGGCATTCATTAAATGATGGATATTAAATACAAAATTTCAACAACTGGCACTTCCATATACATCTCAAATGATTATATTAGATTTCAAACCACAATGCAAGATTTAACGGTACTTTTTGCCATCAGATTTTGAACGACCAGCATGTCTTCTCCGATCTCTTGATTTCCTATCCCTTCCCCCATCCTCTGAGAGCTCTGAATCACTCTCATCATCAGAACATCTAAGTCGAGTTCTGCTGCTTTTGTGCTTGTGGTATTTTTCATGCCTTGAATGTTTTCTCTTTAACGAAGCCTTTTTTCCTGATCTGGAACGGTCCTGATATCGACGACCTTCCGAAGAATCAGAATCTGAACTACTCAGTTGACGCCGTGAGCCACTCCGATGCTTTCGATTTTGATCTTTTTTATCTGCCTTGTTTTCTTCATGATAAGAAAAACTGCCATCAGCCCCAGTTCTGGAACTAATGATCTTCGTGTCCCTCAAAGAGCCATAATCATTAGGCCAAGGCCTGCCTTCTTCAATATAAACAGATTCAGTCTCATTGGATTTGTATGATTTGCTTGGATTTGCACTGATTCCTGTAGTTTCTGGTATCCTGGATTCATGAATTCTAACCTCCTTATCATTTATTAAAGCATTTGATGTTTCAAGAGCTGGAGAAGGTTTGCTATTACTTGGTGAGACTAAACTAGTGGAATTGGCCTTGTCCAAGTGCGAAGGACCCATAGGAACCTCCAATCCCAGCTCCTTACCTAAGGACTCGAGGAAATCCCCAGCAATGATGCGATTCAGAGTTGTGTTTGCCCCATCAGACCTCTTCTCCGGTTCAACCACTGAATTGAAACTCACATCATCTTCATCATCAGAATCATCAGAAAATATAGCCTGTTTGCATGAATATTAAGAATCTTGCCAGGAAAGGAAAATTGGAATTGAAAATGCATGAAAATTCAGCAATGAATCCCTAAGTATAGGAAAAATAAGCACCTTGTACAGATCAACAGGCCTCTGCACACTTGAGCTCAGATCAGTGTCAGGTTGCTCTGCTGTTAGTACCTGTTCTTCCTGTACTTCTAACTGTGCAGCTGGCAAAGAGTCTTTATTTGCTGCAGCAAAAGATGAATTTCTATTTGCAGTGCTAATTCCTTCATTCTTAGCATCCATAAAAGAGTCTGTCATGAATACCAGAGCATCCATCTTGCTTCTTGGTCTTGGTGCCGGAGGTGGCTACAGATGAAAGAAAACATTTGAGGAAAGCCTAAAGCATGAACAACAATTTCACAGGCAGCACAAATGTTAGGCACAAGAATTTGAACATCATATCGGTTCATACTTTTTAAACCCATTACTTGTTTACCACTTGACAGCTTGAAGGCCTAAATTTCAAGACTATATAGAGAAACCATGAACGAACCTTTTGGAAATGTGCAGAACCATTACGAAATACTTAAAATTGTGTCAAAAACACTATTTTTTATGTTGAGTTTTTGTTTCACAAAGATGGTGCAAGAGCCGTAAATAGAATAAAACAGCAAAATTTCCCTTGGCGCAAATTTAAAATGTTATTCAAAAAGGCATAACTCAAATCAAAACAACTAAACTCTGAGAATCCTAGACCAATGACGAGTTAACCTTAAGCAGTAAAAATAACATGAAGCTCAGAAAAAATGTACATGAATATGCAAAAAGTTTTCCCTCGACACAAGTTATACCTCCTCCACAAACAGAGGGAAGCTCACTTCAGATCTCCTAATGTGTGATAGCATGCCCAAAGAAAGTAGGTTTCATAATCGGATCGAAGTACCTTTCCCATGAATGGATCAACAATATCAAAGCGTTTGCACAATAGGGGTGAAGGCCTCCACTGGAATTCTTCCCTTTTTGGTAAAATGTTTTCTATCAGCTTCTCTTCATCTTGAGAACACCGATGTGTCTTATTGAACATGCCAGATGCCATCAAAATCAGTTTAATTTAGTGAAGTAATATATTGTGCCAACAATCAAATGAAATGAATGAAGGATTTATAAAGCCAACCCAAGCAGTTGGCATTAAGTTAATGGTTGATTATTATGATGACAACATGTGTAAGCAAGATGACAGGTATTTCCTACCAGTCCAACTGGTAATACAAAGCGTTCATCTCCAGTTCTAGAGAACTCAATAGACTGCTGGTTTGTTTGAAGACGATCTTCTGTGTTGCGTTTTGCTTTTGTTAATGCATCAGCTGCATCCTCAAAATCCAATCTCTCACGAGCTCGCTCCGCTTCTGACATCTTATCTGTACCACCATAAGATGTTGAACGAAGGCCTCCCTGGTACTTCACTTTAAGAAACAGCTCAAACCTGTCTTGTTTTGCAGGATCCTCTTTGAAAGGCTTAGCACATTCTGATGATCCAACCTATAGAAATTATGCATCAATTTTTAGTAGCATTTTTCTAATAAAAAAAAAAACCCTTTCAGTGAACTAAACTTGTAACAAAAACACAACAAGGGAATTATATTAGTAAGTGATAACACACTTAAGTTACTCACAAGTGCTGCAGATTGGGTGAATGTATCAGAGAGGTTGGAATGAAAGTGGACAACTTTAGTTTGGATTGCAGATTTTGAAGTCTCGTCTGAACTCCTTTTTAGTGGTCTTTCACCCAAAACGTTTCCACGAGTGTCAGCTGTCATCTTGTGGTTGGATACAACTGATTCCACACCTGCCTGTTTTTCCGGATCTGAACGCCTATGCTTTGCCTCCCACAACTTCCTTGCATAGTAATCACAACCAATTCCGCCACTAAGAAATGAAAACAGTGGATTTGATCTATTCTTCTCTTTGGAGAGATCTTCAAATAGTTTTCCACAGCGAGCAACAAGATTTGCAAACCCATCAATCAATAACCTTGCATTGTCATCTTCTGGTGGAGGGACTTCTGCAGGAGGTGGATCCAAAAACTTTTCCATAGTTTCAAGAGGAGATGCAAAATTGTGATAAGGCTTAAAATCAGGTGGAATAACAGGAGGGTGAAACCTGTGAAACAGTTAATACACATCAAAATTTTAATATAGTTTGCGCTTGGCACTGACATATTGCATGCTTGCATATAGAACTGGAAGAGTGGGCTTATACCAGGTATCTAGGCTAATCTTGTTTTTATACATTCAAATATACTCTGTGCAGATGAAGTAATATGAGATTCTGCAGAGATACTTATATCTGAATTACGTAAGATGCCAAATAATTTTATTTTTATTAATTTTAAAGTGCCTTAGGTCCATCGGCATCATTATTATTTCTTCATTCACAGGCATCTTCTTTTTCCCATGTAAGCTCATGCTACACTTCAACTAGTTCAATTTTGGCTTTACTACAACAACAACATCAAGCCTTTATCCCACTACGTGGGGTCGGCTACATGAATCCTTTCTCTCCATTGTGTCCTATTAAAAGTCAAATTCTCGTTTAAATCTAATAAAGAAAGGTCATTCCTAATATTTTCTAACCAAGTCTTTTTAGGTCTACCCCTACCTTTCTTAACATAAGTCAAATCTAATACATCTACTCTCATAACCGGGTCATCGAGAAGGTATACCGTTTTATGTGACCAAACCATCTAAGGCGACTCTCCAAATCTTATCTTCTACTGGAGCTACTCAACCTTTTCACGTATATGCTCATTTCGTATCCTATCTCTAAGAGTAAACCCATCATCTACCTGAGCATCTCATCTCTGTCACAACTTAACTTAATATTGCTTCTCTTTTAATGGCCAACAGACAGCACATAAGCATTGCAGGCCTCACTACCATCTTATAGAATTTTCCCTTAAGTTTGAGGGTACATTTTCATCACATAACAAGCCCGATGCATTCCTCCACTTAACCATCCAACTTAAATTATGCTGATAATATCCCCATCTATTTCACCATCACTCTGAACAATAGATCCAAGATATCTAAAACGTGTACTCTTATTATGACTTGATCGCCCAAGTCACAATCCCCTCACTAGGTTTATTACTACTAAAAATTACACTCCATAATATTCCGTTTTAGATCTACTCAAGCGAAAACCTTTAGACTCTAAGGTTGACTCCATAATTCAACGTTTACCTTCAACTCCCTCTCTAGTCTTATCAACAAGAAGAATATCATCAGCAAAAGCATCACACCAAGGTACATCCTCTTGCAAATGTCTAGTGAGAACATCCATGACTAAAGCAAAAAGATATGGACTTAAGGCTGATCCTTGATGTAACCGCACACCGAAATAGGAAAATACTTGGTCAATCCACCTTGTGTTTGAACACAAGTAATAGCTCCTCCATACATATCTTTAATGATTTGAATATAAGTATTATTGTTCCTTTCTTTCAAGAACTCTCCATAGCACT